AGGCACCTAATTGCCAGCACACAAAGTCAGCGATGTTACCCACTCAGCCACTGGGACTTAACCAAAAATGAAAGTCCGACAATTGGTAGTCTAGATCACATGCTTTTTGACTACTTTCTAAAAGGCATTTGTGTGTTCATAGCTTTTGGCCATGGGAGCCGTGCCAGTTTACACTTGTCAGAGTGGTACTCAATGTACGTGATCTAGACTACCAGTTGTGGGACTTTCATTTTTGTGGAAGCCTCAGTGGCTGAGTGGGTTAGATCGCTGACTTTGTGTGCTGGCGATTAGGTGCCACACTCTGTCAGTGTGGGTTCGAATACCGGACAGCTTCAACCAAAAAAAGTACGAAAATCTGTACTTTACTAAGAAAGTGTCATCCCTAATATAACATTTGTTACAATATCAAAATAATTTTTGAAAAGTAATATCATTATTAACGTCATTGTTTTGTGATAAATAACAACAAAAATCAACTTTGTAGTGTCGGACAATTTAATTTGTTATATTGGTGAATATGCCCATAGACATGTACAGGAGGCCAAATTAAAACAAAATAAAAAACTTGCTTTTGGAGTTGTTTTAATGATAATTTCTTCCAAAAAAAAAAATGATGCATCAGGAGGTGTATTTATAATTGGATCGTTAACAATCATTTTAAAATATATTACCATTTTGAGAATGTTTCTGATATTTTCTCTCTGGCGGCTCCCACTTCCCGTCACAATTCTGATCTTGTAATAATAGTCTAAGAGAACCTTTGATGAACCAGGCTCCAACAGTCTCCTCAATTCATACCTAACAGAACAGTTTATTGACAAGATGTTTTTTCATACAATCTGGTCACAGTATAACAGCTCAACAATAAGGATGCTTTGCCCTGTCCAAAATAATTTTAGAAAAATTATATCAAAATATGAAAACACAAATGCCTTTTAGAAAGTGGTCAAATGTAACTACTACCTACTTTCGTTTATCCGACATACTCGGACATAATCATATGAAACCAACAATGTCGGATTAACGGGACTTGACTGTACATGTAATGTTATATTTGGGGTGACACGTTCTTAGTGAAGTACATATTCTCATACTTTTCTAGGATTGAGTCCTATCCGGGATTCAAACCCACACTGCCATAGTGAGGCACCTAATTGCCAGCACACAAAGTCAGCGATGTTACCCACTCAGCCACTGAGACTTAACCAAAAATGAAAGTCCGACAATTGGTAGTCTAGATCACATGCTTTTTGACTACTTTCTAAAAGGCATTTGTGTGTTCATAGCTTTTGGCCATGGGAGCCGTGCCAGTTTACACTTGTCAGAGTGGTACTCAATGTACGTGATCTAGACTACCAGTTGTGGGACTTTCATTTTTGTGGAAGCCTCAGTGGCTGAGTGGGTTAGATCGCTGACTTTGTGTGCTGGCGATTAGGTGCCACACTCTGTCAGTGTGGGTTCGAATACCGGACAGCTTCAACCAAAAAAAGTACGAAAATCTGTACTTTACTAAGAAAGTGTCATCCCTAATATAACATTTGTTACAATATCAAAATAATTTTTGAAAAGTAATATCATTATTAACGTCATTGTTTTGTGATAAATAACAACAAAAATCAACTTTGTAGTGTCGGACAATTTAATTTGTTATATTGGTGAATATGCCCATAGACATGTACAGGAGGCCAAATTAAAACAAAATAAAAAACTTGCTTTTGGAGTTGTTTTAATGATAATTTCTTCCAAAAAAAAAAATGATGCATCAGGAGGTGTATTTATAATTGGATCGTTAACAATCATTTTAAAATATATTACCATTTTGAGAATGTTCCTGATATTTTCTCTCTGGCGGCTCCCACTTACCGTCACAATTCTGATCTTGTAATAATAGTCTAAGAGAACCTTTGATGAACCAGGCTCCAACAGTCTCCTCAATTCATACCTAACAGAACAGTTTATTGACAAGATGTTTTTTCATACAAGCTGGTCACAGTATAACAGCTCAACAATAAGGATGCTTTGCCCTGTCCAAAATAATTTTAGAAAAATTATATCAAAATATGAAAACACAAATTCCTTTTAGAAAGTGGTCAAATGTAACTACTACCTACTTTCGTTTATCCGACATACTCGGACATAATCATATGAAACCAACAATGTCGGATTAATGGGACTTGACTGTACATGTAATGTTATATTTGGGGTGACACGTTCTTAGTGAAGTACATATTCTCATACTTTTCTAGGATTGAGTCCTATCCGGGATTCAAACCCACACTGCCATAGTGAGGCACCTAATTGCCAGCACACAAAGTCAGCGATGTTACCCACTCAGCCACTGGGACTTAACCAAAAATGAAAGTCCGACAATTGGTAGTCTAGATCACATGCTTTTTGACTACTTTCTAAAAGGCATTTGTGTGTTCATAGCTTTTGGCCATGGGAGCCGTGCCAGTTTACACTTGTCAGAGTGGTACTCAATGTACGTGATCTAGACTACCAGTTGTGGGACTTTCATTTTTGTGGAAGCCTCAGTGGCTGAGTGGGTTAGATCGCTGACTTTGTGTGCTGGCGATTAGGTGCCACACTCTGTCAGTGTGGGTTCGAATACCGGACAGCTTCAACCAAAAAAAGTACGAAAATCTGTACTTTACTAAGAAAGTGTCATCCCTAATATAACATTTGTTACAATATCAAAATAATTTTTGAAAAGTAATATCATTATTAACGTCATTGTTTTGTGATAAATAACAACAAAAATCAACTTTGTAGTGTCGGACAATTTAATTTGTTATATTGGTGAATATGCCCATAGACATGTACAGGAGGCCAAATTAAAACAAAATAAAAAACTTGCTTTTGGAGTTGTTTTAATGATAATTTCTTCCAAAAAAAAAAATGATGCATCAGGAGGTGTATTTATAATTGGATCGTTAACAATCATTTTAAAATATATTACCATTTTGAGAATGTTCCTGATATTTTCTCTCTGGCGGCTCCCACTTCCCGTCACAATTCTGATCTTGTAATAATAGTCTAAGAGAACCTTTGATGAACCAGGCTCCAACAGTCTCCTCAATTCATACCTAACAGAACAGTTTATTGACAAGATGTTTTTTCATACAATCTGGTCACAGTATAACAGCTCAACAATAAGGATGCTTTGCCCTGTCCAAAATAATTTTAGAAAAATTATATCAAAATATGAAAACACAAATGCCTTTTAGAAAGTGGTCAAATGTAACTACTACCTACTTTCGTTTATCCGACATACTCGGACATAATCATATGAAACCAACAATGTCGGATTAACGGGACTTGACTGTACATGTAATGTTATATTTGGGGTGACACGTTCTTAGTGAGGTACATATTCTCATACTTTTCTAGGATTGAGTCCTATCCGGGATTCAAACCCACACTGCCATAGTGAGGCACCTAATTGCCAGCACACAAAGTCAGCGATGTTACCCACTCAGCCACTGAGACTTAACCAAAAATGAAAGTCCGACAATTGGTAGTCTAGATCACATGCTTTTTGACTACTTTCTAAAAGGCATTTGTGTGTTCATAGCTTTTGGCCATGGGAGCCGTGCCAGTTTACACTTGTCAGAGTGGTACTCAATGTACGTGATCTAGACTACCAGTTGTGGGACTTTCATTTTTGGTTAAGTCTCAGTGGCTGAGTGGGTAACATCGCTGACTTTCATGCACAGAGTAGGGCTAAACGAGACACACATCACTACTACATCACAATGCATCTGTATGTAGTCATGGGCGATGGAGTAATGTAGTGTATATAAAACCGTGATGTATTGGAGTGAGTGAGTATGGTTTTACGCCGCTTTTAGCAATATTCCAGCAATATCACAGTGGGGGACACCAGAAATGTCGGGAATCGAACCCGGGTTTTCAGCGTGAAGAGCGAACACTTTAACCACAAGGCTACCCAACGATGAGGATGACCGAGATGAAACTTGAGGATGAGGATGACTAAGGTGAAACTTGAGGATGAGGATGACTAAGGTGAAACTTGAGGATGAGGATGACTAAGGTGAAACTTGAGGATGAGGATGACTAAGGTGAAACTTGAGGATGAGGATGACTAAGGTGAAACTTGAGGATGAGGATGACTAAGGTGAAACTTGAGGATGAGGATGACTAAGGTGAAACTTGAGGATGATAAAGTACATCATACATCATCACAGCCATTCAGACATAGAGAGATTATTATACAAGCATGTGTGTCAAGCTGATTTTACAGAACAATTGTCTTCTATTTCCCGAGGGAGAGTGAGTAAAATCAGTGTGACACACATGCGAGCGTAATAATTTCTTTATTGCCAATTACTTCTTAGTTGTTTGATAGGCATTACCAGGTACTTAGAAGTGGACAGATGACAAGGTAGACACAATTTATGGATAACAACTAAATTACTGTAAAGTTTCGGTATTGATCCTTATACTGTTGTTAAGCAAGCAGTCTTGCTTGACAACAGTATAAGGATCTATACCGAAACATCTACTGTGTTATTTCTTAATCGTTTTGAGCTCCCCTTTAGAAAGAAAATCCACAATTGTCGGAAGACGTCAACAATCTTCAGCTTTGACGTTGTTTCTTATGTGACGTCATTCTGACCTTATGTCACAATAAGATTTGAATGATGTCAACAATGCTGTCAGGATGACAGAAACAATACACTGGTGCGTGTGAAGTGATATTTGAACTAGTGCACATACGATTTTTAAAAACTTATTTATTTCTAACCCTGTGGGTAATATAAGAACATATCACAGCTATTCACTCTATCACAAGAGAATATACATACCCTATTCGACGTAATAAGCGCCCTGCTCTTAATAAGCGCCCACGGCAATATTTGATAATATATTGGCTAGTGAACAATCCCAATTAACACCCCTTCTGATTAATCAATGTACACAAGACTAATGTATTCACGTATAATATGCACTCGTGTATTATATGTCTCTTAATTATGGGCAATTAAATTCTGGAAAAATGTATCCGTCATATATAAACATTTAAGGCTGTCAGCATAAACCACGAAATTTATTTTTCAACTCTGTTTTTTTTACCAAAATATTATTCTAATAAGAGCCATAAAGAGGTTACCTTATGATTTCAATTAGAAAAATATGAATACTTCTTGTCTTGGAATGTTAAAAAGCTATTCCTTTGAAATAGTACTGTCATGATTGTGAAACTCCTGTCCATCTCTTCTTCAAACAGGTTAAAATACAGTTGTAAAACTATATCTAAAATATATTGGGCTAAAAAAAATAATAGTCTCGGTTCTCAGGCACCGCCCACAACATCATTAAGTTCATTGCACGTCTCGTTTTTAATTCCATTTTTTTTTTAAATTAAAAAATCCTTAATTATTCCAAGTCCAACGGTTGTCAAATACTGTATTTCCAGTATTTTACTCATCAAGGAATGCATTTATGTAGGTAGGCCCTTTTCAAGGTTTACAATTGTTTATTTGGTTCAACAACTGTTGATCTGGTTACAAACTAGATTGCAAAACCAAACAACAAAAGACACAGCCCACCCACACAATATTTTCAAAAAACATTGCCCGAGAACCAATTCTTTTATTTTTCAAAGCCTTAGTAAACATTTTGTTTAATATCTACATTCTATATTATGCTCTGGTTACAGAACAGACATAAATGTCAACAATTGTGTAGTCATGGTTATTTGAACAATTCCTTGATTCAATAAAAACTATTTTGTGACTTATTGCTCTGATGTCCATATCCAATATAATTAACAACACCAAGACATACATCCTTTCACTGCCTCATTTGGTGGTTTGTGACCTGGCAAAGTTGATAAACACTTGTTCAAGTGTCGTCTGCCCGACGAGGTAGTCCTCAATGTGGTACGTGTCCTTGGCTCGTTCCATCGTCCCGAACAGCTGTGCCCATGTGAAACGTGTATCAGTTATGTGATAATGTAACATGCATTGATGAATGTCCTTGAGAATGCTCCCAGGGAACTGACCTTCAATGAAAGCCCTTAAAAGTTCAAGGTCAGGTTCAAGGTCACCTTCAGGATAGGAGACCTTGACCATCAAGGTATAACCTTCACTGAATTTGTTCTTTAGATGTTGTGTGCTTCCCAAGCATTTGAACTGCCCATTGACCATGATGGTTATTCTCGTACATAGGGCTTCACACTCTTCCATGCTGCAGAGAAACAAAACAGAATTAGGGCTGTAATTTTGTATTTCTTGGTTTAACGATTTCATTTTCATTTTCAAACCGTGGTCAATATGAAAACAGAGCACAAATAGACGTGACCTCTTCAAAAGTATGCTTTGAACAATTCATGTAAAAAATTGTACGGAAGATGATTTGTACGGTTCCAGGAATTTTCACTGAATGAGAAGTGAGTTAGTTCTCTCCTCACACTCTTCTAATTAACACTGAGTGAGTGAGTATGGTTTTACACCGCTTTAAGCAATATTCCAGCAATATAACAGTGGGGGACACCAGAAATGGGCTTTACACATTGTACCAATGTCGGGAATCAAACCTGGGTCTTCAGCGTGTCGAGCGAATGTTTTAACCACTAGGCTACCCAACCGCCCATGGAAAAGAAAAAGGATAGTCCTTAAATTTAAATTTAATTCCTCATGTATTAGTCTGTCTCCCAGACCAAAAGAAAAAAACTTTGAAAAGGATTCCAGCTAAAGTCTAGAATGATTTGGCAAGTCTAGATTACCTCTGCTCTGAAATTAAGGATTGTTCTGGGCTCCATTTGAATTTTATTTCTTTTATTTTATATATATTTTATATATCATTTTATATATATATATATATATATATATATATATATATATATATATATATATATATATATATATATATATATATATTCTTGAATAAGATAACTTTATTTACAGCAGAGTAAAGGGATAGTTAAATGCTCAACAGAACATGATGACAATGACCATTATCCCGCGATATGCCAAGGAGAGGCACGGGCCACCGAGCCGTGGATGCCCGTGCCTATAATAAAAACAGAAGATGAGATTGGGTTAAATGGCTGAGGGTGTGCAGGTACTAGTGGGCTACTAAGCTGCTAATTGTGTATACCAAAATGCTACCGTGGCCAACGGCGATTCGCAGCTAGCGCTGCTGGCCTGAGACTGCTACTGCTGTCCGGCCCCCACGGTAGCATATTTAAATGCTACCATTGCTTGGCAACTCCCACGTTGCCAAAAGCAGCTCCCCGCTGCTGGCCTAAGTCAGACTACCGCTGCCCGGCCCCAGGTAGCCGGCCAAAGCAGATCCCACTGCCTGGCCCCATTAGCAAAACCATTGTGCGACTACCGCCGCGGACCAAACTGTCAGCTACCGCTTGACAAGACGACTTCCGTCGCCGGGCCCATATACGTGGCAATTGTTTGCCCCAACTTATGTTATTTTACGATTCCCCGGCTGAAAAGTCGGGAAAGACAAGGTTCCCACTGAGAAGCAGGTAACCCCGGAAAGGTTCCCGGTGAAAAGCAGGTAGCCTTAAGCACGAGTATTAATTTGGAAGCAAGTTAATTCGTTTACTAGCAGTGTAGCCCACAAGAACCCCGCACACCTCTACATAGTTTATTGTTGAGACAGGTATTCGCATATACATATATATACAGCTATTTAGAAGTCATGTTTATTAACATATATCAGAATCGTTTAAAAGGTATGTACATATAAACAAGCGCCCTGAAAACCTATTTTACATATGTACAGGTTTATTTACATATATACAATCTGCTCTGCTGGTACCTGTAATAGAATAAACGCTGAAGAAAAGAAGTGATTAGTATTCCAGGTGAAGAGGACACATCAGGCTGAAAAGGAAAGAAAAGGAGTGGCAAGCTGGGTGGGTTGGTGGGTGGGAAAGCGATTAGATACAGTGAACGCGTGTGTACTTGAAGAAGGACTGTCAGCGAATGATGGACTAACAAAAGGTGGGATGATGCTCGCGCGGGAATATTCCCCGGGGACGGTGCAGAGTGGTGACCCGGGGTGATTGAGTTACGAGGGGTGATTGGGTTACGGACGTAATAAGCCAATGGTTTGGATACGCGCGATAAAGTCATTTAGTAGTTAGTACTAAATGTAAATATCCCGCGATATGCCAAGGAGAGGCATGGGCCACCGAGCCATGGATGCCCGTGCCTATAATAAAAACAGAAGATGAGATTGGGTTAAATGGCCGAGGGTGTGCAGGTACTAGTGTGCTACTAAGCTGCTAATTGTGTATACCAAAATGCTTCCGTGGCCAACGGCGATTCGCAGCTAGCGCTGCTGGCCTGAGACTGCTACTGCTGTCCGGCCCCCACGGTAGCATATTTAAATGCTACCATTGCTTGGCAACTCCCACGCTGCTGGCAGACTACCGCTGCCCGGCCCAAGGTAGCCGGCCAAAGCAGATCCCACTGCCTGGCCCCATAAGCAAAACCATTGTGCGACTACCGCCGCGGACCAAACTGTCAGCTACCGCTTAACAAGACGACTTCCATCGCCGGGCCCATATACGTGGCAATTGTTTGCCCAAACTTATGTTATTTCACTATTCCCCGGCTGAAAAGTCGGGAAAGACAAGGTTCCCACTGAGAAGCAGGTAACCCAGAAAGGTTCCCGGTGAAAAGCACGTAGCCTTAAGCACGAGTATTAATTTGGAAGCAAGTTAATTCGTTACTAGCAGTGTAGCCCACAAGAACCCCGCCACAAAGCACCAGAGTGCTACCCCACACCCACGGCCACGCGATCACAGAGATAGCATTGTTGCCCCGCTTGCCTATGTACTGAAAAGAAACACTAACCTGTGGAGATAACATCCTTACTGGCGCAAAACAAGCGCCAGGACATGCAAAAAATTGTCCGTAAACACACACAATCCTTTGTCACTGAGGTGGACGCCCTCCCAGGCGTACCATGTCTTGTCTGATGCCAGGATCTGGGGATGTGGCACCATTGTACCGCCGAGCTCTTAGACTCGGTTGGCCAGTCGGCGGTTGATATTCTTCCGCATCCCCTCAATCTTTAGTGGATCCCTGGCATCGTGCCAGTAGCGCCTGGGCAGAATTGAGGATACGATGATCTTGGTGTCAGGAAGCTGGAGTTGTATCCGAAGGATTGATGCCACCATGTCAATGTAGAGTTGGCTGCCCTTGACCGAGCACAGGTTGTTGGAGCCCAGGTGAATGATGAGGGCTCTGGGGGTGCACCGTGTCGCCTTGACCTGTGCATCCAGAATGATGTCCAGCTCCTTCCACCTCATCCCCCCTCGTGCCAGCCATAGCATCCTCGGTTGGTTCGGACTGGTGCCCTTCAGGAGCAAGTACTGCCGTGCCTTGGCCATGTAGCTGGATCCCACCATCCAAACTGTAAACAATAAGAAGTGTAGTAAGTACCATGAAAGACTATTTGAATTAATTGTGTAACATTGAGTTTGTTGGTAAGCGTATGTAAGCATTGTAGCAATCTGATTTCCACCTGCCGTATTGTTGTATGAGGTGTTCGGGCACCCCGTTCATGGCTGCTGATGTGGCTGCCCCAATGCGGAAGGAGTGCGAAGAATAGCAAGCCATGTTTATGTTGCTGTGTGCTAAGGCCTTTTTTAGGAGTGCCTGGAATTGGTACCTTGTAACGGGGGAATGGTCGAACTGAACGAATGCATGTTGTGGGCCGGAGTGGCGCGCCTCCAGGTAGTGCTTGATGGCGACTACCAGACATAGCGGACAACCTGGTATCGATGACATTGTAACTGTTGTCCCCATCCTGTACTGATCAGACTTTGAGTGTGGTAAATGGATTGAAAGCTGCTGGGGGTTGTCCGAGAAGCTTAAATTCTGGAAGGCGCAACCTGTTTTTGAGGGTCCAGTTTGGACCAGTTCGCTAACCCTAAAGAAGCCGAAAAAACCGCATTATCAGTGGTTCAAGGGAGGTCACTCTATCTCACTCCATCGGACGGGCAAAGTGGGCCCACATTCGAAACTAAGGAACTCAGTAGACTTTAAATTAAATATATCTACCAAATTGATTACTTAAAAACTCAATCTAAGAGTCACTTATTCACTCAAAATGCATGAAATAGTATCAATAAAGTAAAACAATAGCAAACGACACGAACACTTGCCCCGCGAAACTAGGACGTAGGCTCATTAATATTCATGAGGGTATTCCTTTTGTGGAACAGTTCCCACGCTATCTATGACGCCATTGGTTGAGATTTTGACCTTTGACGTCATAGATAGGGGTCATATGCTAATCGCTTTACTACGTCTGCCGATTTTTTACTACGGAGAGTTCTCTGGGAATATCATCACGCCCTAATTATGGGACATGGAAGAAATTCGAGAATGTTGCGTTAATTTAACGTGTGTCAAGAGTCTTCGTGTTTGTAATTCTGAGTTCTGGCTAAAGAGGAGTTACCCTATCTTCAAGAGTAAGGAGAGATTCTGTAATTTTTGTGGATTCACATCTCAAGAAAACTGTGCCCCAATTGAAGATTATCAGGAAGATGAGGTAAATGAACACTTATATTCACATGGATTTAAACCACTCTTTCCTGAGCATGATTTGGATGTTCTGTGCTATTACAAGTACCAACTAAGGCAAAAGAAGACCTTCAACAAAAGGAGATATAAAAGAAATACTTTGAATGCTGTTTTTTATATGAACAGACTGAATTTGAAATTCTACATCCATCAGACATTTAGATACCCACCTAAGAACACAATTGAATTCACTATCCGGACACTTTTAACCAAATATCTGAGTGGATTTCGGGAAAAGTATCATGAACTTGGCGCTTGTTTTTGTGTGTGTTATTCATAATCATGTTTGTGTCAGGTCATTTGAATGAACTAAGTCACGTTGCTCAGGGTTTGCCTGCCAAGGAAGGGAGAATAAAACAGTTGTTGTTTTGGTGGTCCAAAAGAAAGCAATCTTACATTACTCATATTGCCATATTTACCCACACCAATATTGTGGAAAATCTTGCTTCAAATTGGAACTATATATCGACACAACAGTCTTTACAACATGTAACTTTTCATGATGACTCAGTTGAACGTATCTTTGGGAACAGCTACATGATGTACCAATTTGCAATTATTTCCCATGAAGGATTCAAGATTCTATTTGTCAGAAGATTGGATGGACTTACATTTGTTGGAAGATTG